GACGAACAAAAAATATATGTTGAAAAGTGGCGAAAAGTTTCATCAAACCTTCATGCTGTAAAAAAATTGTCAAATATCACTTTTTATTTTACTATTCGACATGAGTCTTCCCCCTCAAGGATTAATAAGTCCAATCTTCTTCGTTAGCAATTATAGCTTGGCATCTTCTTGTCACGGTCCACGAAGGTTAATATTAATATACGTTTTCCCTTAGGTTAGTACCCCATATTATTTGAACCGATACAATGTTAGCGTTTGTTGTGCATGCATGACGTGCAGTTTCAACGGGTGTTTCACACTTTTTTGTATTGCTGGTTTCTCATGGACAAAGCATGTCTAATAGGACACCAGACCCAAAAGGAACATTCCTCCAGTCACGATCGCCATTTTGACGAGCCCGATTTCCAACACGTTTTTACGAAAGTAACGTGAAAACCGTTTCCGATATATGTTTTAATCGATGGGAATACGAGAATATCATCGAAGAATCAAAGTCCAATCGACACTTCTGCAACGCTAATTGCGTTTAACTTGCGATTGCACGAATCACGTTGTCGAGGAGGTGAATCATTACCGGATTTCGCAAACAGCTTTCGTCAGGTGGAATCGACTAAATTTATCGATGACTTAGCTCGACGAACGTAAAAAGCGCTTATCTGCTCGTGTTTGCATTCGATGCACCGATATGAATATTGCCAGCGATTCGAGCTGTTTACCCTCCTAGAGCAAATCCGTGGGAATGTCGCGATAACGCGACAGATAACGGATTCCTTTAAACGATTGGACAAGCAGATACATTTGTGCAACACCGATTTTTTCGTTCGACGTACTTAATACCGCTTATCTCTCGTTCGACAAATCAACAGAAACGAACGCTAATACTAGTTTGATTGGAAAAATAATTCTTCAAACACAACAATAGTCGTACTAGTTATTAAAAATCCAGTTTTGAATACTTCTGTTTGCTTCATTCGTTCCCCTCGAAGCGGATGGAACGAAAAGAAAATGGCAGAACCTAGCAGAGTAACGTTTTAATGGTTTCGAGCGTGAATTTCGCAGCACGAAGGCGTTATTCCGAAACAAACGTCTTTATCGCGAGTTTAGCCTTTGGTAACAGTATACTACTACACGGTGCATATACATTCAATAGGAGGAAAGTAAAATTGGAGAGATAGAAACTTGAACGTGCTCCAGCGCACGGTTTTCCCTCCAAACGGTTTCGAGCAGGAAGGGATAAATATTCCCGACAAATTATCGTAGCAGATATTGCGTTCGATAATCGCGGCTGATAAGGACGCGTGCCTACAAAACTGTCCGAAGTGTAAGACCGAGAAACGATACGTCGTCCAATTAAAACTGCTCCCAAGCACGGCTAGGGGGTATATCTTCTCTTTTTTCCACTAAAACGGCATCGCGCATCTGGCATCGTTAATTAATCACGAATATTTATTGCGAACTCTTCATGCTCATCCGCCAGTCTATCCCGAGGCAATTAGCGAAATTATTGCACGAAGAAGGAGTGAGAGGAAAAAAAATACGTGCGATTTCTTCACCGCGATTCACTGGCCCGTGTTTCACGGCGTCGTCTCGCTGAAAGCACTCCAGACATCACCCCGATCGTATCCTGTGCAATAATTAGCTCATTAATGCCAGATCCATTCCACCTATTCAATTTCCCGATTATCCGGCCCCGGCTGAGCTCAGACTCCGTGGATAACATTCGCGATCGCGATTAGGCTGCGCCAGAGATCGGGGAACCCGCGACCTGCTGTCTGTGCCGCTCGCTGCGGCCATTATACCTCGTCGCGGATAATATTTTTACGGAAAACAAACCAGAACTCCGCCTCGAAGTCACATTCTCACTTTCCTGTCGATTCGCGGGCTAATTTATTTTCGATTCATCCCCGACGCTCGATAATTCACTTTCGTCGGCGACGATTCTGGAAATCTTAAAATTTTATCAGCGATCATTATCGTCGTATTTGCGCCCGAAGATTACCATGACTCGGTACTCTTATTTCTGCCGAGGAATTATCGATTACTTGAGTCCGTCAGTTCGACGCAAAGTCATGCAATTATCCGGATATCTTCGAGTAACAGATAACACGGAAATCGTTGTTTGTCCGTTGCTCGTTCGATAAAAATTCATGAATCAAACGTGTCGGTTTCGTAATCTACTATTCTTTTTAGAATTGCAATCTGAAGATCGGCGATTCCGATCGGAGTTGGGACATTTTCGCGAATTAAAGGGTCGAAAATTGAGAAACAGCGTGGCGTAGGTTTTCGTTGCACGATTTTCCTTGGGACCCCGAGTCCACGGGACGTTCCTCATCGACGTTTCGAGGTCACTAGACAGTCCGTTCGTGGACGTCTCGGTGGACGAGGCAGGACAGGTACAGCGATAACGACAAACTGGCCCGAGAAAAACGGCGACCGGGCGATAAATCAGGCCTATTGCATTCCTAAGATAGCGGGCTGCCTGAAAGTCATTACGCTGGCAAAAGTAATTCCCAACTAAGTAAGTAAAGCAATAAATACATAATGCATCCGGCGAGTTTCCCACACGCGCTGCCCTCCTCGTCGTGATTCCATGAAATCATGCATCAGCGGGGACCACGCTGCGTGTCGCGGATTTATTTGCGCCGATCGACGCGATCTCCGCGATTTCTTTCGCAACCTGGACAGAACGAAACGCCGGGAACAAAGAAACCGATCTATGACGGCGATCGAGAGGGTTCACGGATGGAACTTCTTCGCCAAAGACAATTATTTTAAATATCTCCGGAGTTAATCATATTTTTTTCACCGCTTCTTCCCAATACGCGCGGTTCGTCTTGCGTGAAACAAGATTTTAATGTTTGTAAATGCGTGATTTTCGATCCACGCTCAAAGTCTGGGACGTACGAAGAATTCTGTGGGACTGTGTATCGTCCAGTAGTAGAAATTTATTATTTGTCAACGATAAAGTGGACAAGCAGTCCTATCGAACGACATTTGTCGTATAAACTCTGAGAGAGTGAGTCGTGGATGGTGACTCTAAATATAGAAATTTGCAACGAGCTTTCGGGGATCGCGATGGGGAAGCAGTTTCGTACGATTACATCAACTGATATGTCCATCTGGATTTCCCTAATTAAGTCTCCTGGGATCTTAATTATTTTAATCTGGTAATATTGCGCGAGTCGTTCCCAAGGAAAATGGCTACGTTTGCATACGGGTTGAAATTTTATGCTTCTTTCTCACACTGAAACGCGTGTAAAGGTCAAAGCACCCGTGAAGTATGTCTGATCGGTGCTATGGAGGTTCCACTGAAACTCTCGGCTCTCCTCGCGTCGGTGATCCATAGAAACCTCGAGGGAAATCTATTCGAATGCAAGTTGGTTCCTATAATGAAAGTTCGCTAATTCTCTAATTTATGTATTAATTAGGAAATGAGTAACTTAAAATCTAAAATTAGAATGGTATTGGAGATCATTCATTCGGTGACCTATTATCTCACAGACACTCTGTCCTCGATTGAAACTCATGCTCGTGGATAAGCGTTTATGTAACCGTAGTACTTGGTAATAGTTCGGATAATATGAGTTCAGCAATAAGTTCAGTAAATGGGGCACCGAGTCAAGATAAATGGAGTTTCACTGTTCTAGGAATCGAAGGAGAGTGGTTCATATTCATTACGGTCTATCTACGTCCATTTACGAGCTTTTCTCAAGTATCTTTGAGAATAGACAACAAATGTCCACTAATGTACATAAGTCGTATTATTTTGCTCCATATACAAATCAGAGATTAACGTTTAGTAGAGCTAGCTCCACTCTTTACACCTAAGGCGTTTAAAAACAATAATTGAACATTACGAACTGTTTTAATTGTTAATATCTTCCTTAAGTCGACGCGAAATTTTTTGGAAATATTTTACCCAGTATAGATAGCACATTTTCAAGCTTATCTTTTTCCCTTGGTCTTTTTAGGGTTGTTAAATTACTCCATGAATATTTAAACAGATATTTCGTATTTCTGTCGAGAAATTGATGTAAAAGCTCTTGGTCTACATCACCAGTGATTGATTTATCTCCCCCGGGGCAAGGTTCGCGTTAAAGCTTCATCTTCGTCACGGGTACATAGTTTCCGTGACCCTAATGACACTATTTGACCCATCCCCGTCGCTCGCGACTGTAAAAACTCGTAATTCAAACTCGAACCGAAGCGACGGTCAGAAACGGAAGCGCAAGGACGACGATTTCTCATGGAAGGCACGATGAACATTTGGGAACCGCTGTTACGGCGTGACCGTCTCGATCTCCCGTCTACGTTCAGCGTTATTCTAATTAATTAGCCCGCTCGTCTGGTAGATTGTTTCACGAATATTGAGATAACTATTTATGAGTTTACAGACGAGCGAGCGCCGCGCACTTTTGGCCACAATATGTATCTCCCGCATCGCTCTGATTAGTACCACTGAAACCACGCCACGTCACTTCGCGTTAATTACTAGTAAGTATTAGCTTAAGCTTCCTTAATTTTCAGTGTAGTTATGTCTCATTGTAGATTTTATTTGCCTTTTACAGGGGCAATAAAGTATCTTTACGCCGCTTCGGTAACAAGTCTCGTAATTAAGGGATACAAATGCTTTACACGCGAGATCCCCCTACCGTCTCTACGCCCCCGACCCCCGGAACTCGTTGATCACTGATTGCAGGGAATTAAGCCCTGCGTCGCGATTACATTAATAAACATTGAAACCGCGCCGATCGAACCGAGAGATCGGGTTCGCGTTTCCACTCTGTCCAGGCCAAAATTCCAGAAAAATATATTTCTATCGAATCGAATCATCCATGGACTTGCCGTCGATGAGATCTGATACGAGCAAAGGGTCAAAGGTGACGCCTTGGCACAAACAAATGGTAAAGTTCGGGCTCACTGTGCGACAACTCGCGTTGTTTCGTTGTTTCGCGACTATCGAGGCTCTGTCTATCGCGGCCATCTTCACTTTTCGCACGATGCTGGCGGAGAAGACCTCGTACGACACCGGGAATCACGGCGGCTCGAACGGGAACGTTTACACGGAAAGTCGAGGGAACGTCGACGTGGAAATAATCGGGACGCAGAAGCGTTGCAAACGATGCACAGAAGTACGTTTTCTACCCTTTGATGAGCCCCTGATTAGGTTATGACGGCGCGCAACCGGCTATAAAAACACTGTTAAAATATATCGCGGCAACGAACGGCCTCCGCTTATTATTTAGCCGTAAAAATCTCCGCCGGCCGGCTAATTGCATAATTGATTATATAAAAGCGTTTCCACCGAGCCGTCGCGATCTCTTACCTAATCGTGCTTCGTTATTCGACTAACGCCGCGCCACGCGTTATTCCCTGCCGTGATTTCCACCATTTCTCGCGGAAGTGAGAAATTATCTAATATCCCGCATACGTAATGTCCACGAAACATCAAGATCGTGCCGCGCGATTATGACGAAACGCGCAGGGGGAATGTAAATAACAAATTTTGTAAAGATCGTAATCTCGATTTCATTTTGTTCGTGACGGTGTACTTTATTTTAATACGGGGCTCGAGGAAGAAGTAGGATAAACGTGTACGGACGCTCGTACGGTTTACTCCTCCCCCATTTATCGTGAGATTTTACTAAGGGTGGATCGAAGTCTTGAATATATTGCGATAAAGCACGATTTAAACGAAGATGAAAATCAAGACAGAAGTTCTCGACGAGATCGAGAATTTCTCTATCAGCGACGAGGAGGACTCCTTCGAGGTCGAGTCGAGAACAGGAAGCGTCTCGTTGTTCCGGACGGAGACCGACGAATACGTGGACTTCGAAGACTATATCGTGGCCCTGGCGAGCGGGAAACGTTTGCTATGCAGCGTCTGCAGGATCGAGTTCCCGGACGAGGCTGAATTCAAAACGCACATGGTCGGCCACAGCCACGGGAAGCTCTTTCAGTGTGGCTTTTGTAGGAAACAGTTTTCACGGTAGGTGCGTCGTATAATCGGCAATTTGACCGTTAACAAAGCAATTACTCGTGCGATTTATTTAATTAGAAGCGAACGGAATTAACGTAACAATGTATGGTAATCAGTATCGTCGATGCTCTTCGTGGATCGAGCCCCTTACCACCTTCTTCTCTTCCTTATTGTTTCTCTTTTATTGCCCGCAAAGATTCGTTTCTGATTACTAGACTGCGGATGTTTATACAAATGCATGTGTTTCTAGGAAGTAAATAAAAGAGTTAAACCTAAATGGATAAATTAAAAATATATTTTTTATAAAAACATATGTCGAAATGTACTGCACATGTCATATATGTTTATTGCATTTCTTTTTATGAAACTCTATAACTATTTCGGAGTTTACTAATTCGATGTTTGTATACGATGGTCGTGGCAGAAATGACAACATAAGTGTTTACTTATAGTGAACCATTAATGGTAACAGTTCATGACTGATTTATGCTCTTTGTTTCAAGATCGACAGCCCTGAAGGATCACTTGCAGATTCACGAGTCCTACAAGGCGTTCGTCTGCAACCACTGCGATCTACGATTTCAAGTACGTTCTTTTCGCTGTTAATTTTTGTCGTGTAAACTCTATTTCTCATCGCCAGTTACAAAATGCTCTAGGAAAGGTTCGTGTTTATTACGTGCGTGCAAAGATATGTATGTTGCGATACGATCAAGGAGGTTCCGTTCCGCAAACTGGCATGGAACTTGCACGAGCTTCGACACAACCCTCATCTCTTGCAAACTTCTATGAATTATTGATGATATTTAACATTTTGGGCATCTCCCACACCGATGAATCTCATTTTTCAGCTTATCCTCAGCTTTAATTCCCTTCCCATTTACGAATCGTCTATCTTTTCTCGTTAAATTCCAGGAGAAGGACCAGTTGAAGGTCCATCGAGCAGAGGCGCATCCAATCCGAAGGTCGTTCGAGTGCACGGTGTGCAAGAAGAAGCTGCTCCATCGTCAGTCGTTGCGCGACCATAAGCTGATGCACAGGAACGTGAAGCCGTTCGAGTGCTCGATCTGCAAGAAGAGGTTCCTGCGCCCGAGCAGCCTGAGGGCCCACATGGTCGTCCATACCGCGGACCTGCCCTTCGAGTGCGACCTCTGCCCCGCCAAGTTCAAGCGGTCCTCGGTGCTCAAGACCCACAAGCTGACGCACACCGGCGTGAGAAGGTTCGAGTGCGACATCTGTAAGCGTCGTTTTCACTTAAAAGGCGCCCTGAAGCATCACATACTATCGCATTACGGTGAGGCACCAATTATTACCGGGGATCGTAAATGAAATCGCTACTGCGAATATTCTCACAATGAAGCACGGAAACGCCCGACGATTTCAAACTACATTGTAGCACGAGAACATTTTTCGTCTTGCCTTCGTTACGGAGCTTGCTTTCCCATGCTGGGTGGGACGTCCAAATCGGAATACTTAAACACCAACGTTATAAATTTTCGTAGAATCAAGTTACGCTACTATGCTTCCTTGGATGACACTATTTTTAGTTCCGAAGATCGCTAGTTTAATTTGATTTTTTAATGTGATTTTTCGTTTACAGGCGTGAGGCCCTACAAGTGCGAGGATTGTGGGAAGAGTTACAGGAGATCGTGGGGCCTGAAGGTCCACAGATACCGTCACACGGGCGTGAAACGGTTCGAGTGCGACTATTGCAAGTCGCGATTCAGCGTGAAAACGAAGCTGGCGAAGCACATTTACGGTCACATCGGCGAGAAACCGTACAAATGCGATTTCTGTGGGCGCCAGTACGGCGAACGGTATCAACTCAAGGCCCACAAATGCATGGCCGTCGTTCGAAGCCTGTCGCGAGCGAAGATCGAGCGCGCATTTTCGGACTCGATCACTCAGATCGTGTTCTTCCGACCGAAATCGTCGAGGGGTTTACCAAACTCGAACAACAATCGATGATAGCGCGATCGGTACCCGGAGGTCACTCGTAATTTAATTGATACCTCGAGAACAGAAAATTAAAAATTAAAAACGAAACAATGGCACGTAATAGAGTCGAACAATTAGAAACGGTCAGCTTCTACCGTTGTGTCGGTTCCATCTCGTCCGTGTTTGCATGCCTATGGTGGCTCGATAGGGACTCGGCCTTAATAAGCACCCTGCCACGGAACAAAATTCCGATTAATTTCAGCCTGGACAGACCCGGTACGGATTGCTTTCCGACTTACGAAGACTAGGCTTAGGTTCGTCATCAAGGTACCTCGTATAATGATAGTGCTCGTTCGGTATTGCTCGAACGTGACTGTTCGTGATTACCAGAACAATACGGACGAATTCGTTTGGATCGCGACGGCCCTACGGGAGTAATTGTTTAATCGAAGGTACGTGGACAATTCGCTCAATGGTCATCCCGCGATCCTCGAGCGATCGCACCGAGTCAAAGTGTCGTTTCGCGGTCGAGATCATCGTCGAACGAATTTTTTGGAATGTTGGAAAGTTGATTGAATCGAGTTGGTACCATTTTATAGGAACGCAGATCAGTCACGTATTGTGCAAAACGGAGAAGCATTTGGAACTTGTTAAAGTTTGGTACCATTTTGTAACGACTTCGGTATAATTAGGATTGACCAAATTTGATTTTTGAATTATAAATACGAATGAAACGTAAAAGAAAATTAGTTAATATGGAGACCAGATGGGGGAGGGAAATGTTTGGTGCCATTTTGGTAAAAGTTGTGCAAAGTTTACCTGGTACCATCTTGTGATTTAAGTTTGACTAGAAGATGGAGGTACCATTTTGTAGCGACTTCTAAGTAAAAGAAAATTAGTTAATATGGAGACCAGATGGGGGAGGGAAATGTTTGGTGCCATTTTGGTAAAAGTTGTGCAAAGTTTACCTGGTACCATCTTGTGATTTAAGTTTGACTAGAAGATGGGAGGTACCATTTTGTAGCGACTTCTGAGTAAAAGAAAATTAGTTAATATGGAGACCAGTTGGGGGAGGGAAATGTTTGGTGCCATTTTGGTAAAAGTTATTTTCCCTGCGAGGATCTGTTTGTTAAACGGGGATGCCCGTCCCTCAGAATTCTTTTCAAGGGTACATTATATAATTTGGTCTTGATAATACGCGAGTCGCATGTTGGTCGGCCTCAACTGTATCTCGAGCACGTGGGCCCTCCTTGTGTCGCCGCACGTGAGAATGGTACTTTAAGGTGCGTGGACACAGCAGGGGCTCGCATACGGTAATCCGAGAAGAACCGTCCTTTTATCTGATTGCATCTGTGATTCGCGATCCTCCGGGAGGAACTCTTTGACGATGCCGCCGCGCATGTCGCCTCCTGGCCACGTTTTTCCGTCTCTATTCACGAATTCACGATGCGTTTGGAACACCTGGGAGCTAGAGAAATGCTCATCGAATGCGCGAAAAAACGACTGGACGTTTTACACGATCCCCTCGTGTTCTAAAATTTGCGAGTTATTTATGATGTAAAAAGATTCGTAAGATGTACAGGGTGACACCGAAATGGACCACCACGTAATTCCACTAAAGATGAGAGAAGGTCGTATAAATTAAATATTTCTTTGACTTAAAATTCATCGTTTTACTTGACGACTTTAGCTAACGAACACTCGCTGGCGCAAAGGTGTCGAAAGTATTGCGAACTGGGTCATCTAGACCGCGGTGATTCACGGTGGCGAACGAACAAGGAAGCAGGATAAAATTTCGGATAAAATCGTCGCGTTCGCGAAAAAAAGAAATCTCGTGGCACAATTTTTGGCACATCATTTCCTCGCGACCGCGTCGCGATTTAAATACACAGACGCGAGTATCTCCCGTTCATATTTCCCGCTTAATTATACCCGGTTCCTGGAATCTACGATCTGACAGTTCGCCAAGACGCGTACTTACACGCAGTCTTATGCAGAGTCACGCCAACTTCTAATTATTTAGATAACGATCGTAGAAGCTTTAATTATTTTCTCCCGCCGTCGTTGCTCTATTCGCCGGTGTATGCTAATGACGGGACTTCGCGAAGATACTGGGCGCCGATACTATTTCGCCGTACCCTGGTCCCTAATTGCGAGTCGCGGTTGTTACGTTGAAAACAGTACCTGACAAAGAAAAGTTTTGGCCAGCCATTTAAAGAAAATTACGAGTCATTGGATATTGTCATTCCTTTAGAATTAACATATCCCAGTTTTAAAAAATTCTGTCTACGTTTATAGATCAAATATTAAGAAATCACGATGTCAACGTTCAATATTGTACGGGTTCCTGAAAATTGCTCGACTCATCACCCCGCAAAGTAGAAATCCACGTTAACGAAGCTTCCGCAATTGGTGATTAACCACACTCGTTCCACATTGGTAAGCATCGTATTTTTTAAGCAATTATCGTACGTAATTGCTTAAATTATTCAGAGGGTTTACATATCGGCCGAAAACGTTGGAATTTTAATAAACGCTCGACGTGGGTTTGTTTCACCTTCGTAGGAGCCGTTCTGTTACCAAATAATTATTTCCCAACAATGTCCAATTATCGTGGGTCAGCGCGGGGTCAGGTTTAGTTAAAATTTCGCGAGTTTCGACGTTGCTGGACGCGGTTTAAGCGGAGGGGGTCCGCGGTGCTCCGGTTGGTCTCGAAAAAAGGAAAAACGCGTCGAGGAATATTAAATAACGACGATGTCGATTAGTATTGACAACAGCGATTAAAGAGGCCGAATTGCCAGTCGGTAATGACCGAGCAGCCTTCGCGAGCAGTGAGCACTGTAATTTCATTGATAATATTTAAATACGGGCTTTTGATAGCTGTCTACCCTCGGCTGGCATTACCGCGGGCCCCATAGGGGCCCATAGGTCCCCCTCCACCTGCCTCACTCCGCCTCTGAGACCAGCAGAGGCGTACTATTTATCGACCTGGTCCCGTCATTATTTCATCGAACTCTTTCATCGCCTCTTCTGGTTAATCGGCGACCCGTGAGGCCCCGGAATCGAGTGCCGCTTACTCCGATCGCTTTCCTTTTCCCTTTACTTTTCCACGTTTCGCGATGATTCCATTATTACATTACGCAAATTATTCCATTATATAAATTTCTCGCCGCGTTGCGAAATTCTCGTCACGCGCTAGGTAATCGCGGAACGAGCAATTATAACATCGTTACGAGTTCTAATTTCGATGCTCGACCGGCATACGATTGTTATTGGGCAAGATAACGCAAATACATTATCGCACACGTCGCTCTTTGTCGGCTTCTTTGGTTCTATCGCGGAGGGTCGTAACAAACTGATCCAAATCGCTAACATTTTTTTGCATACGTACGATAATTTGTCAAGAAAGAACATTACGAGCGAAAATTATTCAGTGCCCGATCGTTAGATACCTAAATTACTATCATCGTTAATGTCTATACTTTATCGCGATACGTTCGGGTCACAAGATTCATGATTGCGTGTTTTCTTCAATAAGAAAATTCAAATTACGTTTCCTCGGTGATTTGCATAGGAAATGACTCGTATGCGAAATAACGCTCTTTATTAACGCGTAAATCAAACATCAACGTGATTCAACGATACTTTGTAACTGAAGTGTAAAGAGTAAACATACTCATCATAGATTCGATCTCTTGTTCATGGTGGGTAATTGTATTATTAAACACATAATAAGTGCTCTAATTGCATGCCTCCATCCGCAGCGCACAGTTCTGCTCTTTTCATTAAATTTCAACGAGCAGAAGCAAATAAACTTCGCGAATCCACAGTTCTGCATTTACGTATTATCCGATACCGAAGCTCTGTATCGTTAACGGGTGTTTTATAAACAGTCGATCGTTACGTTGTTTTGTACACAGATCTCTCAATCGTGTAACACGCATATGAGAAAAATTATCTATGAAAACTGTTGGAAACTAATGTAAAACTAATGTAAAACTTTGTAAAATATGAAATGACAACGTGTACAACGTATCGAGCGAACGGTCTGCTCGGTTCACAGAACTGAAATCATGATAAGCGCATAAATGAAATATGATGCATCGATAACATTTGTTCGTCGGATCGTACAACGTGTCTAAAAAATGGCAGTGACCGTTAGAATCAACAGCCTGCATAAATTCTCGCTCTGCACTTAAGCATCGATTCAATTTCAATTCCATCTGACGTTTTAATTTCAATGTTCTTGTAGTCGATGGTTTGATAGAGTGATACGTGCATGACTTCGTTCTCAGTATTAACCGTACGAACAGGTGGAAAATATATCATGCCCGAGACTATTTATGTCTCTTCCGGCTTTAGATTACAGACATTATTCCGTAGCATAAATGATTCAACGCATTACGGAATATCTTTTAATGTGAAACAATTTCCTTCCATCAACGTCCAAAGTTTCAATTACCTTGTTGCACCGTGTCTGCAGTTTCCAATTAATATTATAGAAAATAATTCATATAATAATCGAACGAACTGGTGGGAATGTCATTTCTGAGATCGTTGCATCGATCAAAGATTCCAACCTCGTTACTTCGTTAAACGAATTACGTTGTTGGCCAGTCTTTGCAAGTATTATCAAACAGCTCTGGCAATTTCTCGATACAAGAAATTTCAATGTAGAACAATGTCAAAATTATTTAACGCGTTAATGTACTCAAAGTTTTATCAAGTTAAGCTGTTTACTATTGGCTTCTTTATATCGAAGAAATGTGCGAAGTCTGACGAAGATCCTTAGATACAAGCTGTTTAACATTTAGCCTTAATGAATTGTAGCAAGTTGCACGATAATGTTCAGATTTTCATCTTCCAACTGGTTCCTGGTTTTATTTTAATTCATATTTATTATTCAGAACCTTGCTCGCCAGTGTAAGCATTGCCGGATATAGTTACGAAGAAAGTAGATTATTCGAAATGTTTGGACGAACTCGAGGAAAGGGTTGAACCGTCTCGCGACGTGCTGTCCTTTCTTTTAACGATAAAAAATATT